AGTCCTTTTGGAAACCTTCCTTTTTACTTACCTCCCTCAACTCCCAAATGTATAATCAGTCATCCTCAAAACCCCAGGGCAGCAGCTCTTTTTGCCCACAGGTCCTGTCCCCATACTTTAATAAATCACCCTTTTTTCAAAAAAGAAAACAAAATCACCTTTTTGTACGATTAAAAAAAAAAAAAAAAGATACTGCTGCAGTCATCCCAAACCTTCAACAGCCATCACCCTGATCTGTTAGCAGACCATCAACATGGAGGCAGCACCCTCCACCAGCAAAAAGATTGTGACTCACTGAAAATGCATATGATAGCATTTTTTAGCAGTAAAGTACTTTTAATTAAGATATATACATTGTTTTTAAAACTTCTGCACACTTAATAGACTATAGTGTAAACATAATTTTTAAAAGATTTTATGCATTTATTTGACAGAGAGAGACACAGTGAGAAAGGGAACAGAAGCAGGGGGAGTGGGAGAGGGAGAAGCAGGCTTCCCGCTGAGAAAGGAGCCTGATGTGGGGCTCAATCCCAGGACCCTGGCATCAAGACCTGACCTGAAGACAGATGCTTAACGACTAAGCAACCCAGGCGCCCCTTTTAACTAATTTTTAAAAAGACTTTATTTGAGAGAGAGATGGTAAGAGAAAGCACAAATGGAAGAGAGTGAGAAGCAGGTTTCCTGCAAGCAGAGAGCCCAATGTGGGGCTCGATACCAGGATCCTGGAATCGTGACCTGAGCCGAAGGCAAACGCTTAACAACTGAACCACCCAGGCGCCCCTAAATGTAACTTTTATATGCACTAGAAAACCAAACAATTCATTTGATTCATTTTATTGTGAAGTTTGCTTTATCGTGATGGTCTGGAACCAAACCTGCAATGTCTCCAAGTTATGCCTGTATAAGTCTTGCACTCCTTTTATAAATTATTTCTAAGTATTTTATTATTGTTGATGTTATTATGAGTGGGATCATTTTCTTAATTTTATTTTTGTGATTGACTACCATTCGTATATAGCCATAACACTGATTTTTGCATATGGATCATATATCCTCTATCCTGTGACATTGATGAACCTGTTTGTTCATCATCCTGTTTGTGTGTGTGTGTGTGTGTGTGTGTGTGTGTGTGTGTGTGTGTGTGTATTCTTTCGGATTTTCTATGTGGAGGATGTTTCTGTCTAGAGGAGTTTCCAATATTCCAACTCCTTTTACCCCTGCTCATGTAGTTGTCATTACCCTTACAACTTTCAGTCTTCATACTTACAAATTATGAAACACCAAGCCTTTAGTTCCTCCAGCACTATTCTAACTCCTCACTCTTCTGCTTCGACTACTCATTTCTCTGCAGCTATGTATCTTCCTTCCTATTTCACAAAGGAAATCAATGTTATAAACACAGCCTTTATTATGAATTCAATGATGCTCAAATTTCAGACCCCTTCACTCGGCAGCCCCTTTTAAGGTTCTGAGGGCCTCTAGCAATAGTAAGATGACCTAATTGTAATTGGTTAAAATTCTTTCTTTTTCCAGTCTGATTTCCCCTTTCTTAAACTTCTGATGTTGGTGTGCCAGTGGAGTAGTCACAAGCATTTTGTGAATCTGAGTAAGGGAAAATTGAGTTGGGAATACACTATTAAAGTTGCCATTTGGAAAGACATTCTAAAATGCTTCAATAATACAAGCAAGATATCACCGACGAAAAATTTGGGTGTATGTGAATTTTAAAAAAATTAATGGAATAAAAACAATAAAGATTAATTTAAGTATAGAAATTATTTTGACAAAGAATTGTAACTTTTTTCAGATTATATTACAGGTGAATTCGTTAAGAGAAAGAAATATTTTCAATTAAATATTGAAAGGATTATTTCATAATCCATTTACTGAAATGGAGTTAATTATTCAAATACATTGAAGAAAGATTTAAGTGTCTTGCTGATTTACAAAAGCTACTATCACTGAATACAACATAAAAATCATACCACATCAAGGGCATCTAAGATAGATTAGTTTATGAACTTCCTCATTTCAAAGTCAATTTAAGCCTAGTCATTTTCTTTCTTTCTTTCTTTTTTTTCAAGATTTTATTTATTTATTTGACAGAGAGAAAGATCACAAGTAGGCAGAGAGGCAGGCAGAGTAGGGTGGGAAGCAGGCTCCCCGCTGAGCAGAGAGACCGGTACGGGGCTCGATCCCAGGACCCTGAGATCATGACCTGAGCCGAAGGCAGAGGCTTAACCCACTAAGCCACCCAGGTGCCCTGTCTAGTCATTTTCTAAAACACTTGAAATGTTCCTAATCTTATAATCATATAAAGAAATTTGATAAGTTTTTTCCAAATTGGACTATGTATAATATTTACATAGTGTTATCAATAATGAACTATAAAGCTGAAAGAATTTCAAAATTACGAATTATGAAAAACTAATGGCTATGCTAGATGAAAATCTACATTATTTTTATATTTTCTCCACATAAAGTATTATATAAAATGATTCTCATATGAACAAGAGCATGAATACAAAAATTGCAAATAGGATGCCTGGGTGGCTCACATAGGTTAAGCTGGTTAAGTTGGGCTCTGTACCCAGCACAGAGTCTGCTCTAGATTCTTTCCTTCTCCCCCTCCCACTACCCCCACTCGTGCATGGTACCCAGGCTCACTCTCTAAAAATAAATAAATCTTTAAAAAATAAAAGGTATTATAGAGCTGTTACTTATTAGGAAGTTATATTATTTTCCTATATTTTGTGATATTAGTGGAATTCATCAACTTTAAAATTTTTATTTGTAATGATTTTTCTCATTCTGTGGATAATTGCACACTTTTAACCTAATTTATAGACATTTTTTTTTTTTTTTTAGAGAGAGAGAGTAGGGATGCAGAGGGAGAGGGGGAGAGAATCTTGTAGGTTCCACACCTAGCATGGGACCAGAGGTGGGGCTCAATCTCACAACCCTGAGATCATGACCTAAGCCTAAATCAAGTCAGTCACTTAACCAACTGAGCCACTCAGGTGCCTCATGTAGATATCATTCTTGTATTCTGTTTTTCAAGAAAGCTCTCCTTCCACTCACCACTAATCCTATAAGATATAGGCTCCACAGAACATTGATCTTTTTATGGCTAACAACCTTGAATTTTCTGTTTTCTGCCTTTCTCCTTACAGAAGCACCTGCATCCACATCCAGTCTTTTTTCTGTTAAATATCCTTGTAAGCCCTGACTCCCATCCACATGGCTTATTCTCAGCAGCTGCCTTACGCCAAACCATTAGCCCCTTGACCTTGACTTAGTTCATAGCTCTTCTCTCCCTGTCTTACCAGTTTTAGCATCTCTCTTAGCTTCCAGCTCTGCATGCTGAGTGAGGCATCCCCTGTGGCTTCTGATCACTCAGGTGGACCATAGTTACCAATAGAATGACACCACCCTTTTTCTTGACAAAGGCTACTCTTTCAGCCTCTACCCTATCTCTGTCTTTTCTAGGACTGCACAAGAAATTCACTGCATCTCTTGTCTGTGTTTTTAGCCTCTGACTGTACATGTATTGTTACTCAGCTGTGTGCACGCTTAGGTGTCTCCTATCTTAACAAACCATTCTACTCTGCATTTTCCTCCTTCTCTTCCTGCCACTTAAGTCAAGGTTCTTGATTGCTGGTATCACCTGTTTTGTCACTTCCACTTTGTTGCCCTGTCTTTCCTACCTAATGCCTCTCTCTGAGATCACCAGAGGCCTCCTTAATACCAGATACAGTGGACTCTGTTCAGTGTTTATTGAAGGCTTAAACACTGACCACTACTTTTTTGTTTAAATTCTCGTATTTCCTGGATTTCAGATATTATTCTTTTGGTTTTTCTTCTCTTTTACTCCCTAGTCTTTTTTGAGGCATTCTTTTCTGTTTCAGTCCCATATACGTTAGTGTTGTCCAGTGTTTTATCCTCAACCCTTCTCGCTTCTTCATTCCTCCACCTGGGTGATCTATTATTTTTACTCATTTATCCATTCGGCAGTATTTGCTGAGCATATACTGTGTGGTAATATTGTGCTAGGTGTTTGGGAAACTGTGATGAATAAGACAGATTTAGTCTCTGCATCATAGATTCAGTCCATCCAGGAAGATGATTATTATCATTATTTTAAAAAAGATTTTATCCATTTATTTGACAGAGAGAGACCATGAGAGAGGGAACACAAGCAGGGGAAGCAGGAGAGGGAGAAGCAGGCTTCCCTCCAAGCAGGGAGCCTGATATAGGGCTTGATCCCAGGACCCCGGGATCATGACCTGAGCTGAAGGCAGATGCTTAACAACTGAGCCACCCAGGTACCCCCAGGAAGATAATTATTAACCAAATAATTACAATTCCATGGCTTCAGTCACCACTTTTTTTGCTAATAACTCCCAGATCTATGCCTGAATCTTTTTTGACTATTAGGTAAATTATAGCCAGGACATCCGAAGTAATAAAATCACTGAGATTGCAAAACATCTGTGATTACTTTGAACTGTGACATTTCATGAAGCAAAAGCACTGGATCAATCACTTTAAAAGGTATTCTTTATTGTTACCCCAGGTTTCATACAGCATGGAGAACCATGGTATGTAGCAAGAATATTGTCTATGAATCTGAGATTCTCATTTTGTCTCTGTGGTTATGTCACTTTGACCTAATTTTCTTCACTAAGTATTTACTGTTAATGAATTTAAAACATTAATTGAATTAACGTGTATGGAAAAGTTAGCTGTCTTTATAGTTAAATAATGGAAATGAGTTGGGGTGACCATATACCTGTTTTCCTGGGATATTCCCAGTTTATATCTGTCATCTCAAAGAATACAAATAATGCCTCCTTTTATGTTCAAAATTGTCTCCACTTAGACAGTAGGTTATATGGTCATTCTTAAACCATTTTTCAAAGAAAACCATTTTTTCAAAGAAATATTTGTTATTATCCTTGCTATTTTTAAAATTCCTAATTTTTTAAACTGTTTTACAGTCAAAGATTGGTGGAGTACAAATATTTCTGGAATAAGACTCTTTCATTACTTACTTTTACTAAAAGGGAGCTAACCAGTATTAAAAATGAAGTATATGATAATTTTCAAAACTGGACTTCACTGAAAGGAGAAGTTTTTCTACAAATTAAATCCATAAGTGAAACAGCCTTTACAGGTTTGTTGTGTATATTTAGAATGTAATCATCTTTTTTTTTTTTTTTTTTGCTATATGTACATAAGTAATGAGATAATACTTATACTTCATTTTATGTGATGGGACTTATGATCAACTTTTAAATTTGTTGGGGTTGGTAAACTAGCTGGCTATTATGACTTCTTTGAACCCTAAAATTCAATAATTATAGGCTGATCTAAAATAAACCAGATACATCTATCTTGAGCTGTGACCAGAGGTCTGTTTATTACTTTTAGATGTGCCAATTTGTATTTTAAAACTTTTTCTTCTGTTCATGATTTAGTATGTCATGTTGGATCAGCCTTCCCTCAGATAACTGATAAATTCTGGACAGAATAACTACTTAAAAACACTGGAGAGTGACCAAAGTCAAGCACCTAACAGAGGGAATGTCAAATATTGAAAGAAGTCATATTACTAAGTGAAAAAAGCCAATCTGAAAAGGCTACATAATATATGATTCCAAATAAATGACATTCTCAAAAGGGTCAAACTATAGATATAGTAAAGGAATCTGTTTTTGCCAGGGTGTGAGGGAAGGGTGAATACGTTGAGCATGGAAGATTCTTAGAGCAATGAAAATACTTTGTATGATACTATAATGGTGGATACATGTCATTATACATTTGTCAAAACCCATAGAATGTAAACACCAAGAGTGAATCCTAATATAAACTAAGGATTTGGGGGGAATTGTGATGTGTGAGTATAGGTTCATTGATTGTAAGAAATGTCGCACTCTGGTGCAGGATTTTGATGATGGAAGAGGCTATGCATGTGTGGAGACAGAGGTTATATGGAAATTCTCTGTACTTTCTGCTTAAGTTTTCTATGAACCTAAAACTGAGGCATTTTTCTAAAAGGCTACGATTTTTTTGTTGTTGTTGGTAAAAGAAGAAAATGGAACTGGGTGAATTCCTTAGGGTTTTGTTTTTATTTTTGTTTGTTGTTTACGGCTATTAGATTGAGGGCAGGTACAGTGTGTTGATGCCAGAAAGCTAAAACTCTGATAGAAATCTATAGTCTTTTGGCTTGAAGATTGGAGAACACAGATTAAGGCAGCCTCTGAGAAAGAATTTTCTAGAAAAGAGATGATCAGAGAGGGAGAGCTCAGAGTTTGCATATAAGCTCTTTCTAATTTTTGGCCTATTCCTGAAATACATGTGCACAGGGAAGACTTGAAACAACCCACCAAAGACCAAGATAATTGATATTTTCACTGCTGCTTACCCAAGGGGAGATATATTTTACAGTTTGAGTTCAGCCAAGTTAACTGCTTATTAAAATAAAACAATGTCAAAATCACTACCCTTTAGAGGAACATAACAGAATTCAGGGTCTCCATAACATAACATCCCCAATGTTCAGGATATAACCCCAAATTTCTTGATCTGGGAAGAAACAACAAAACATGACCCATACTCAAGAGATTAGATATAAGCAGAGACCTACCCTGAGTTGATCCAGATGATAGAAATAACTAATCAAGATTTCAAATTACCTGTTAATTATATTCAGTGACATAAAGGAAAATAAGCTAGTATGAATGAAAAGATAGACTATCTCAGCAGGAAACTATTAAAAATTGGATATTCAAGAATGGAAAAATACAATATCTGAAATAAAAGTTTACTAGATAGACTTCTATAGCATATTGTGATTATAGAAAAAATAACCAGTGAATTTAAGATAGATCAGTAGAAATTATTCATTTTGAAGAAGAGAGATAAACATTGAAAAAAAGTGAACAGAACCCCAGGGCCCTTGCGATGGATTAAATGTACCATAAGTGATAAATATGGGTAAGTATTATTAAAGACTTTTTTCCTTTGAATTAAAAAAGTTGTATATTCTTATCTAAAGTAGGAATTATTATATGTGGGTTTTATAAAGTATGTTGATTTAACTTATGACAGCTAGAACATAAAGGATGGAGGGAAGGAGTAAATAGATACAAATGGTTGTACTTTTGTATTTTATGTGATATGATGCAATATATTTTATATGTAGACTAAAAAGGATATATAACTCATAAAGCAATGACTAACCAATAAATACAAAAAGATAAAGCTAAAAAGATAATAAACTAAAAAGTAACTTTTCTAAAGGTCTCCAAACAGTGTTGAATTAATGTCACCTGTCTCTAAGATTTATTATGTATTATGGCATCTGGATCATCAATAGATCAATGGAATAAAATAGCCAGGTAAATGATCCTATTTGTATGATTATTTCACTTTTGACAGATGTGCCAAAACAATCCAGTGGGAGAAAGAAAGTCTTTCAACAAATCGTAGTAGAACAACTGAATACCCACCCATATGGGAAAATATACCTCAACTCCTACATTACATTGTACATGAGATTAATTCAAGCTAAATCATAGAACTAAATATAAAAGTTAAAAATATCAAAGAAATAGAGCAAAATGTCTTCATGAATTGGTAGTAAGTGAAGGTTTCTTGGATAGGGCAAAGAAGTAAGAAAAAGACCAAAAATTGATGTGTTAAACTTTATCAAAATTAAAAACTTATTCATCAAAAGATGCCATTAAGAAAACGAATAGGTCAGCCACAGACAGAAGAAATATTTTTTAAAAATATGTGACAAAAACCGCTGTCCAGCCTACATAAAGAACACCAACAAATCAGTAATAATAGGACAAAAAAATCCAATCAAAAATGGCCAAAAGATTTGAACAGACACTTCATAAGGAAACATGTACAAATGACCAATAAGGACATGAAAAAGCACTCAGTGTTACTGGTCAAAAGGGAAATGCAAATGTCAAGAGTACATACCCACCAAATTGGCTAAAATGAAAAAGATTTAAAACAGCAAATGCTGGTGAGGAAGGAAAGCAACTTAAACTCTTACGCAGATTGGTTTGAGTATAAAATATTATAGCCACTTTGCAAAAAGATCTGACAGGTATTTTTTATAAAACTAAATATACACATATCCAATGATCCTTGAAATTCTTTTCTTTGGTATTTATGCCCCACCTCCCCGCAAGTAAAAACGTATGTCCACACATTTATCCTAAAGAAGTGTTCCTGGTGGCAGCCTTGTAGCCTTAAAATAAGGGAAGAAAATTAATGTTCTTATAGTTTAAATAAATTTGTTCATATATAACTAATATATTAAATATATTTATATATATAAATTTAGATCCACATGAATATGCTGCACTGATTTTTTTATGGTGTGGTATTCCATTTATTTATTTTTTTCTTTTTTAAATATTTTTTAAAATTTAAATTCAATTAATATATAATGTATTATTGGTTTCAGAGGTAGAGGTCAGTGATTCATCAGTCTTACGTAATACCTAGTGCTCATTACATCACATGCCCTCTTTAATGTCCATCACCCATTTACCCCATGCCTCCATCTGCCTCCCTCCAGCATTCCTCAGGCTGTTTCCTTGATTAAGAGTCTCTTATGGTTTGTCTCCCCTCTGGTTTGTCTTGTTTCATTTTCTCTTCTCTTCCCCTGTGATCCTCTGTTTTGTTTCTTAAATTCCACATAAAAGTGAGATCATATGATACTCGTCTTTCTCTGATTGACTTATTTCACTTAGCATAATACTTTCTAGTTCCATCCACATCATTGCAAATGGCAAGATTTCATTTTTTTTAAGGATTTTATTTATTTATTTGACAGATGGAGATCACAAGTAGGCAGAGAAGCAGGCAGAGAGAGAGGAGGAAGCAGGCTCCCCACTGAGCAGAGAGCCCAATGTGGGGCTCCATCCCAGGACCCTGGGATCATGACCTGAGCCGAAGGCAGAGGCTTTAACCCACCGAGCCACCCAGGTGCCCCAAAATTTCATTTTTCTGATGGCAGATTTATATTCACACACACACACCACATTGTATATATATATATATATATATATACACACACCACATTGTATATATATATATATACACACCACATCTTTTTTATCCATTCATCTGTCGATGGACATCTTGGCTCTTTCCATAGTTTGGCTATTGTGGACATTGCTTCTAAAAACAATGGGGTGCAGGTGTCCCTTTGGGTCCCTACATTTGTGTCTTTGGGGTAAATACCCTGTAGTGCAATTGCTGGGTCTTAGGGTAGCTCTATTTCCAACTTTTTGTAGAACCTCCATACTGTTTTCTAGAGTGGCTGCACCAGCTTGTATTCCCATCAACAGTGTATAGGGAGGATTCCCCTTTCTCCATATCCTCGACAACACCTATCATTTCCTGACTTGTTAATTTTAGCTATTCTGACTGGAGTGAGGTGGTATCTCATTGTGGTTTTGATTTGTATTTCTTTAATGCCAAGTGATGTTGAGCATTTTTCATGTGTCTGTTGGCCATTTGGATGTCTTGTTTGGAGAAATGTCTGTTCATGTCTTCTGCTCATTTCTTGACTGTATTTTTTGTTCTTTGGGTGTTGAGTTTGATAAGTTCTTTATAGGTTTTGGATACTAGCCCTTTATCTGATAAACATATTTATTAGTATATAATTAATATATTAAATATATTTATATATAAATTTAGACCCATGTAAGTATGCTAAACTGATTTTTGATGAAGGTAAGTAAGCCATTCAGTTGGAGGAAGGACAGCTAGAAAATCTTTGGGACCTAAGATTCTCAGACTTGAACTAAAAGCACGATACATAAAAGGAAAACTTGATAAATAGAACCTCAACAAAATTAAATTTTGCTCTGTAAAAGACCCTGTTAAGAGGATGAAAAGGCAAGTTACAGATTAGGAGAAGATATTCGTGAATCAGCCAAAGGACTTTAATATGGAATACATGAAAAACTCTTAAAACTCTACATTTTAAATAAACAGACTAATTAGGAAATGGGCAAAATATGTCAGAAAAAATTTCATCAAAAAAGTATATACAGGTGGAAAAAAGCATGTGAAAAATTGTTTAAAATCATTAACCATTTAGGGAAATGCAAATTATAATGAAATGAAATACACATTTATTAGAATGTCTAAAATTATAGAGGTTTCTTAAAAACATAATGACCTAAAATAATTTTAAGTCCACGTGGCTAAGAACAACAGAAAAATCTTATCAAGATAAATTGATTGTATAAGACTAATACTAGTAATTGTACTTTCATTAGCTAACATTATATAATACTTATTCTAAATCTAAAAACCTGTATTAGCTTTACACTTTGACGATATTACAAGCATTTTAAATGATAAATACTTTTTTTAAAATACCAGCTTTTATTTGTGATCTACATGGATATGTCCTTATGGGGTGATTTGATTATGCATGGCATAGTTCTTCAGTTGAAAAGTTGACATAAAAAATGAAACATTTTTATAAGAAGTAAAATAACCTCCTAATTCACAATCCTAATTCCTTTGTCCTAACACAGTTGCTTTCATTTTCCCATTTTATCTTTAATCCATCACATGCTCGTTTATTTTTGGCATATTTATAATCACAATATACATGCCAATAAATATTCTAAAATGTAGTGTTATTGGCTGGATTTTGTCACTTCCCCAAATTCATATATTGAAGACACAATCCCTCAGAATATAACTGTATTTGGAGTTAGGGTCCTAAAGAAATAAATGTAAGTGGGTGGGCTCTAATCTATTGTGATTGGTGTTCTTTATAAAAAAGAAGAAATTTGGAAACAGACACACACAGAGGGAAGAGCCATTTACAAGCCAAGAAGAGAGGCCTGGAACTGCTCTGTCCTTTGTGGTCCTCAGAAGATACCGACACAACTAATACCTCTTCTCAGACTTCTTAGCCTCTAGAACTGTGAAAAACATTAACCTCTGTTGCTTAAGCCACCCAGTTGATGGTCCTTTGTTACAGCAGCCCTAACAAATTAATAAATATCATGAACCACATACACATTGCACAATTTTATTCAAGATACTTTGAAAGATTTGCACATTAAAATTTAGGTTTAAATCAAAGTCAAAACAGTATTCCTAGAAAAGGCGTTGCTTAGTATTTTCTTGCTGACAAAGTATGTTTATTATTGAATAGCAGATATGAGTGAAATATTTCTTACCCCTCTAATGAGTTGCTTTCTCTTTATGTAATCAAGATTTTTAAGTTCAAATGTTCATGGATTAGGTTTTCTTAAACCAAAGCACACCTATTTTAATAAGAGAAATTTCAGGAAAAGATCCTATATTGTAGAATCACCACACTAAAGGTAGAGTATTTTAAGTGTATAATCAATTTGCTTCCATTCTCAAAGTAACTTTTGATTGACTAGCTCTTAAACTTTCAAAATTCAAGTTCTGAATTAGTCTTAGAAATATAGTCCACATTTTTTGTAAAATTGAAGAAATTGGGGATAGAATAGGCCTGTTTGCATAGCCTATTAAACACACACAATTGCTTATGTGTTTTTATTGCCTTATCTAGTCTGACATTAAATAATATGGGGCTCAGAATGCTTGCCTATGAAATGAAGGGTAAAAAAATATTCAGGATATTCAACCAGTATATCAGAAACTAGAAGTTTTTTTCAGAAATGAATTTATTCATTTGGTAAGTATGTAATGAGCTGCTATTATTTCTAGGACATCATGGTAGAAATTATGGGTATAATAAAAAAATAAGCAAGGTATTATCTCTGGCCTAAAATAATTTATAGTCAAATAGTAGGTCATATGTAAACATATGATCAGTGCAGTAAAAAAATGGTGTAAATTGGTGAAAGTTCCAGGAAGATTTAGGTCACTTCCAGATTGCATCAGACAAGATTTCTAGGCCCTGGTAGCATACAAGCAGTGGCAGGCCAAATGAATGAGGTTAGGAGAACCTTCTTCATGGGGGTGCCGAGACAGGGGAAATACAAGATGGGTACAATGACCAGAATAGGTTAACCTGGTAAAGATCATAACTTCTGAACTCCAAACTGGGACACATGGCTGACAGTTATGAAGTTATAGAATGATGAAGGTAGGATTGAATATTTGACAGCAGGATTGCCAAACAACAAGGGATGTGTAATTTGCCAAGGATGAGTTAATTCACCTTCATTGAGTTTACTCTCCAAATTTCATGTTAGAAACAGCTCCTGTTAGTTTGGAAATCTTGCTGTACTTTTCCATGTGTTAGAATATATTTCACAAATAAATTTGTATCGCAGATTCTTATTCTTTTAATGTCAGATAGAAAGTCATGTTGACATGAGTAGTTATTTTAGAGACAGCGAATAGTGTACACTTACAGAGTCAGCCTGCTAACCTAAGCAGTATCATTCTGGCAAATGAAAAATAGGTGACAGCATGTGCAGGCTCCTCTGCAGTGTCATTTTGACTTAAACATAGATATGATTAGGATATTACATAATTTATTCAGCATAAGGAGCCGCTTTTATGGATACAGGAATACCCAAGACTTTTTAGGTGTGAAGAAAAACTGCAACCTCTATATTCTTAAAACTCTCTTCTTTTAAAATCTTATGCACTAGTGGGTTAGCAGTTTTCCTTCTACAAATGGGTGCATATCCATAAGTATTTAGAAGCATAGAGTTTTTCTTAGGAAAAAGATTCCCATATAAATAATCATTCATTAGAATATAGTAGAACCTTACTTATTTGGTCTCTGTCAGGTTATTTCTCCAGGTTTTCCATTTTTTAAAAGATTTTATTTATTTGAGAGAGAGAGTGAGAGAGAGAACATTAGTGGGGTAAGGAGCAGATGGAGAAGCAGACCCCCGCTGAGCAGGGAGCCCAATGTGGGGCTTGATCCCGGGACCAGGATCATGACTTGAGCCAAAGGTGGATGCTTAACCACCTGAGCCACCCAGTCACTCCGCCAGCTTTTCTATTTGGAGCAATAATTAAAAGTGAAGAAGATGCTAGACCCCTTGTGCTCATGCCCTAGATCTGTCTTAAAGATCATGTTTTCTTCTAGACATACTCTTCACCCACAAGAGATATTTTGCTTTTCTCTCCTTGGACCACATTCCTAATCCTATTCATCACCATCCTTTAAGGCATGTTCTCTTCTCCTTATCTGTCTAGCCTACCACTTTACTTCTCCTATAACCACTTGCCAGCCATATTGCCTCTGCTGCCATGTCTGTTTGATGGATCTCTGATTCTGGTTTTCAGCTGCCCCTCTGGCTGCTATTTCTGCCATGGTGGTTCCAAGACCAAGTCAAACTCATCTGATACCCAGTCACTTGCTAAACCCATCACATGGCCCAGGATAAGCTAACCGAGGAAGGGGATGCCAAGTGAATTATCTGAAGAAGCAGACTGTCCAGATTTTCATGTAGACCACATCCTCATCAATTCAAATTAATTGTGGTACAAATTTTATAGTATTTTATTATTATTGTGGGGTTCTTTAAATACTTTAATACTGGTTTAAGACAGTAGTGCTGAGGAGACTGATTAAAGGAGAGCTTGATAATTATTCTGAAGGATAATATGCTCCATGCATTTCTCACAAAATTGTACAAAACTAGCACATTTAAATCTACATAATGCTATGAAGGCATATTTTTATTAAGTTTAATCTAGGTAGATAGAATAATGACAAGTGATTGCTATAATGAAATTCTGGTCTCATTTTGAGGGCACAGAGTATTATTAGAATCATTAAGGTATATTAACTAATACTTTCTGTCCATAAATTTATTAGTTTTAGACACTGCATATTTTTATTCCTCTCCATCGCTACTGCCTTTCTTCATAATTTGTATAGAATGTACCCTAGTTACTCTCCTAGAAATGCCACCCAACTAGCTCATGCTAGCACATTTTAAATTTACTTTTCTCAATCATGTTGCCAAGAAAACAATTTCAATAAAACTCGGAACATTATGCAGATATTATGTTATTCATTTATGTATTTGAGAAGCAAGATGGATTGCCATTTATTACAATTTAAAGGCTAAACTACTAAAAGTTTTCATGCATCATTTAGCAATATAATCCTTTTTATTTCTTTTTTCTGAATAACTACTAAATTTAAATTTTTTGGTTAGGTGTCATTATGCCGACAGAAAAGTCATCTTGACTTTCAACTATTAATTTTCTAAAAGGAAATAATCATTCTATGGGGAAATGATTTATGATTCAATTTTGTCTATTTGTAAACTTTGAATCTTCCTTACAGAAATAGAGATACTAAAGAAAAGTTTGACAGTGTCCCAGAGAAATAAGATATGCCTTGAAGAGGAAATGAAAAATCTGAAATTATTGTCAGATGCAGCCATATTGAGGTCTCAGCAGATTCAGGCATCCAAACAACAGGAAGTAAACTTGCAAACCAGATGCCATGACTTGCAAAAAGAAGTACTAGGTAAAAGAGAATTGTTTTTTGCTGTTGTTAGCAACTAGCCATAATAAAATCTTGCTTTAATTAGTTTCTGTTGCAAATATGCCTAATTACTAGTAACTATGTCAATAACTGTGTCTGTGATCCATGTTTACAATCTTCCCTTCCCATTCTGCTATTTAGAGTGATGAGACTTAAGTGAATATGCCTCCCATTCTTAAATTGTACAGATAGTCTCCTGAGTTTTCCTACATTTAAGTCATTAATACATGTAAGATGTGGGGCACCTGGGTGGCTCAGTGGGTTAAAGCCTCTGCCTTCAGCTCAGGTCATGGTCCCAGGGTCCTGGGATTGAGCCCCGCATCGGGCTCCCTGCTCAGCGGGGAGCCTGCTTCCTCCTCTCTCTCTCTGCCTGCCTCTCTGCCTACTTGTAATCTGTCTGTCAAACAACAACAACAAAAAAACAAACAAACATGTAAGATGTGTTTTTTATATGGTGTGAGATGTGGGGGTCTAATTTTATTCTTTCCAAGTGGATAACCAGTTGTATCAGTATTATATATTAAATAATCCATCCTTTCCACTGAATAGTACTATCATCTGTCGTATGTTAAAATTTTATATATGCTAATAACATTGATTACTGTGTTCTCTGTTCTGTTCCACTAATTTATTTAAAATACCAGTAATACATATTCATTCGAATATAGTGACTTAATAGCATATTCTCATAGCTGGTAAGTCTTTTCTTCCTCCACCATTCTTACTTTTTAAATATATGTTTGGAGTTATTCTTTGATTTGAACTTTTTAAGATCCTTTATTTACTTCTAACCCAAAGACTCTAAATAGTTATCTAGTAAAGTATTTCTCCTCCAGTCTTTATATTTTATTATAGATTCACAAGCAGTTATTCTTCCACATAAACATTAAGGCAGTTCATTTAATTCTAATCCCATCGGGGTTCTAGCTGGAATTACATTATATTTATATAGTAAATTTTGGAGAATTGACATTTTAGTGATAGTAAGCCTTTTTAATATTATCAAATCTTCTCATTCAAGAATATATGTCCTTTCATTTCTTTAAATTTGTTTGTTTTCAAATGATTTCATAGTTTTATTTGAATGTTTGTCATTTTTGTTAAATTTATCACTATCATGGTTTTGCATCTACTATAAATGGGATATTTTCTCTATTTCAGCTTCTTAATGTTTGTTTTTTTTTGTTTGTTTGTTTTTTGGTGTAAGAAGGTGTTTTTATTATAGCACAGGGACAGGACCATGGGCAGAAAGAGCTGTATGGGGATTGTGAGGAGAAACAGGTTCTATACCCTTTAGTTAGTAGGAGTTAGGGATAGTCTGAAGGAATTTGTGCATGTTAAAAGCAAGGTCTCCAGGATGTTGGAGGGCTTGCTATTATTAAGATAAGTTTGCTTTAGTCTTCAGTGAAACATCAACGGTAAGGCAGCCATGAGTTCCTTGAGGAATGTCACACTCTGCATGTCTCAGGGATTTATCAGCAGGCTGCCAGTTTAAGGAGAATACTTTAGTGCATTTCTCTTGCCTTTGTTCTCCTCATCATTTATCTTGTGAACAATTTTGACCCTTAAATTTTTCAGGTTGCTGAGGGTGAAAGATTTTATCATCTGTAACTTTTTCCTGATGAATACGGGCGTAGAGATGTCCCTACCTAGGAGTCAACATTAGTCAGTTGGGGATATAGGAGTTATGAAAGGCAGAGACAGCTGAATCCAAGGTAGACAGCCTATATGAATCTTCTTGGGTAGAAAGGATCATCTGTCAGCTTGAAGTTATGGCACTGAAGGAGTCTTGGCACTGTGTGGAGAGACGTTGGAAAAAAAAATGATTAAAATTATTATGAGAAAAAGAAGCCCAATAAAGAGATCTTTGATAGTTGACTAAAATCCTCCTCCAGGCCAGGAATTTAACCAATTATTAAAGGAGAGGGAGGGATTGTTTAAAATGCCAGTTTGAATATTTATATCTTTTAGCAATTCTGTTACATTTTTATGATAATCTGGAATATATACATAGCATTCTGTTTTTATGACGGCACATGTTCATCCTATGCAGCAGTTATAATATTTAATGCCATTTTATTTTGGAGAAGTGCTTTATGAATGAGTTATTTCAATGTTTAATAATGTAATGCTATTTTGAGAGTCACTTAAGGCTTTAATTGTGGAGCAGGTGGTGTTAGCCATCATATAGACTGTTCTGTTTAGCAAGCAATCAGATAATTAATAAGAGGCACTTTCATGGGAACAAAAGAAAAATATGGGTTAGTGGATGGAGCAAATTACAAACCCAGTGTCTGAGTCTCCAGTACTGCCAGTGAGAAGATTTTCAGATGTCAGGTTTGAAGCATCCTCAGACAGACTGGGATCAGGCAGTGGGAATCAGATGAGTTTTTCTGGTTTGTAATTTAATAACTCTGGTGATCCTTTTGAATGACCCATAGTGCAACAGGCACAAAGATTGTGTATATATGAGTTCTGTGGCAGTTTCTTTGAAACTACCCTCAAGTTGTCCAGCATCAGTTTTCAGGGCTTTAGGAACAAGAGCAGTTTTAATTAAGAGAATGGAAGAAGATTGGAAATCTTGGTACTTGTTGATAGAATAAAAAAAGACTATTGGTTTTTATGTATTTGTCTTATATCCACCAACTTTATAAAGTTCTCATATTAATTCTAGTAGTTTTTTACTAGTATCTCTTTGATTTTCTAGTTTTACAATTATACCACCTGCTCCAATACCCCTGAAAAAGAGTTCATCTGTTTTTTCCAGTGTTTATATCTGTTATTTTCTTGTCTTGTTCATATCTTTTTAAATTCATTTGAACTGAGACTGTATTAATGATGATGACATTGAGCATCCACATCTTCTTCCTGATCTTAATTGAAATTATTGGTGTTTTGCCACTTGGGATTATATTTGATGTTTGGTAAATACTTATTTTTAATTAACTATTTTACTTCTGTTTCAATTTTACTTAGATATTTTAAATGAAATGCTTTTGGATTTTGTTAAGCACCTTTCAGCATCTGTCATTATAATAGTATGTCTTCCCCTTTAACCAACTGGTAAAATGGATTAGTATTATTGAATTTCCTGATATTGAAGCATCTTTGGTCTCATGGAATAAGCCGTATGTCATTTAGTTTTTAAATATATCATTTCCTGCATGGTTATATTTTATTTATAAATTTGGTACATATATATTGATAAGTGAGATTGGTTTATAAATTTTTCTTTATTAGGAGGCACTAGTTTTATCAGAGTTTTGCCTTAAAATTAAGTGACTATCATAAATACTCTTGTTTTACTTTATTTTATTTTATGTATTTATTTTTTAAAGATTTTATTTATTTGACAGAAAGAGATACAGCAAGAGAGGGAACACAAGCAGGGGGAGTAGGAGAGGGAGAAGCAGGCTTCCCGGCAAGCAGGGAGCCTGATGTGGGGCTCGATCCCAGGACTCTGGGATCGTGACCTGAGCCAAAGGCAAACACTCAACAACTGAGCCACGCAAGTGCCCCATAAATACTCTTACTTTTAAATATTTCCTCTATCTGTGGTTAGGCCTAGTTTCTGATTTTTAATCTTGTCTATTTTTGTTTTATCTTTTATTATTTATCAAGCTTGCAAAACCTTTATTTTTTAGTCTTTTCAAAGAACTAGCCTTTGTATTTTTTTATGTTTTCAATTTTATTTTCCATAACATTAATTTTTACTTCTATATTTGTTAATTTCCTATTCCTAGTTTCTTTTTGTTTGTATGTTTTTATTTTGCGGACTTCTGAAGGGAGTACTTAGTTATTTTATTTCTCATCTTTTTTTTAATATAATAGTAAAAACATATAAGGTAATAAGTTTTCCTTTAAGTAAAATTTTCTCTATGTCATATTTTTAATATGAATTCTCCTTTTCAGTGCTGTCTAAATACTGTGTAATTTCTAATTTTTTTCTGTGGTGAAAGGGTTATCTAGGAGTATATTTCTTAATTTCTACATAGTTAATTATTTGGGGAAGGAGTTACTTTCTTATTTATTTAACTTGGGAGTATTCTGAGTAAGTAATGAGGTTTATAATACCTTTTTGAGTTTGTTAAGCTTGCCTTTATGTTGTGTACATGATCAAGTGTTATAAATGTTCCTTAGAAATACAAAATAATTCTCAGCCTGATGGATATAAGTTTATTTCAGTTAAGTGTAAGATTATTGGGTTCTTCTTTCTTAGACTATAGACGCTCTGACTTCTAGCTTTCAGTGCTGCAAATGAGAAGTCTACTGTAGCTCTGATCCTTTTTCATTTAAAGGTAACTCATTCTTTTTCCTGAAAGCTTTTGTTTTTCTTTTTCTTGTTTTTTTTTCCTCTTTTTTTCCATTGGGCCTCAGTTGGATCACTCATAATCCTTGGGTCATGACACATATGTACTGGCTGGGACTCTATATATAATCTTGAATAGAAGCGTAATGCAGACATCCTTGTCTCATTCACAGTTTTATGAAAATATACTGCAGAATAACTTTGGAGTTTAAGCAGAAATTAAAATGAATGTAAAATAACTAAAGAATGACATTAAAAAACTATATTATCAAAACTTGTGGGGCACAGCCAAAGAGGTGTTTTGAGGGAGATGTATAGCTTTAAATAGGGATATAAAAAGGAAAGAACAAACTCAAAATACATAGAAGAATAAATAATAATAAAAATAAGAGGCAATCAGTGAAATAGAAAACAAAAACATGATAAAGAAGATAAGCAAATAAAGCATTGATTTTTTTTTTAAACTAACGAAGTAGACCTTTGACAAGTTTGGTCAGAAGATGAGAGAAAACACAAATGAAAAATACAAGCAATTAAAGAGGGGCAATGTCTACAGATAAAGAGTAAATAAATAAAATAAAAGTGGATGCTGTTAACATTACACCAACAACTTTGAAATCTTAAATAAACATACTATTAGAAAAATACCTTACCCAGACTTACTCAAAGCAAT